GGCTTTGTTGCTTCTGAGCTAGATGGCCGCTTGTTTACCTTCAAGCTTTTAAGACCCCAGACGCTATATCTTTTGATAGCCGGGCACCATCAGCAGTATATTTCTATTTAATTTTAATTGGTTTTGGTTTGAGTTGTATTCTTCTAGTGCTTTATCCATCTAAACTCTTAAATGCAATGCATAGAGTTGTTCAAAATCCCTTCTATTACAGTTTTATGGGCTTATTATTCCCATATCATACAATTCAATAGGCTTACTACATCAAAAAGAGTTGTAGAATCATCACCACAATCAGTTTTAGAAAATTTTCTTCATTCTCATTATTATTAGCTCCCCCACCCCCACCCCTGCCAACCTCCCTCACATACCCCCAAGGAACCATTAATACAGCTCCTATCTTTATAGATTTACCTGTCTTGGATTACCTATTGGGAAAACATTAAAAACAAACCCCAAAACTAACTAACAACAAGTAACAAAGTAAAACAGACAAAAATCTTCAATTGAAAAGAAAGCAGAAAATAGTTAAAACTGGAACGAATTTAAATGGATCATAAGGGAGATTTATTCTGTATTTGGGATGTTTAATTTATTCTTTATTTGGGATGTTTTTGGATTCTTAAAGATAGGAAGTTTCATGAAAATAATAATCTATAACTTATCAAGAGTTTGTGAGGGAGGCGGGCGGGGGAGGAAGGGGGAAGAAACGGGGAGCTGATATCAGGGCCTCAAGTGGGAAGAGAAGGCTTTGAAAATGATGATGGCGGCATATGTGCAAATGTACTTGACACAATGGATGAATGTATGGATTGTGATAAGAGATGTAAGAGCCTCTAATGAAAGTATTAAAAAAATAGGAAGTTTCTCTGTCTCTCTGTAATGGATTTCTTTCTGACTGACTTACGACTATGTCTGAGAACATAGTGGAGCATCCTGCGACCCACACAGATAAATACTGGCAGGAAGTCATCTTATTTTGCTTCTTTTCAGATGATCTGTCATTTCAGTTTTATTTCCTCTGTGACCAGGAAGTATCTAGAGCAATGCTCCTCATTATTTCTTCACTATGTTAGGCGTCGTGGCTACCCAGAGGATAGGTTTCCACCCGTACATTTACTGGGTTAAGATGCTGGCTCACTTCCTGCAGCACTTCAGCCACCTGACAAAGGTGGCGCCAGGAAGTGGCAGAACTGCCGTTCCCACCCCATCCCACCCAGCTCAGGAATAAGGCCTCCCAGAGGGAATTCAGGCTTCTTACTTCCAAGACATTCCAGTCTGCCATAGTAGCTGAGTGCTGCTGTAACATTGATACCGCGAGCAGGTGCTTTTAAAGAACAGAAGTTTCTTTTCACCTGGTCCTGGAGGCTAGAAGCCTGCATTCAATGCACTGGCTCTAGACAAAGGTCCTCTCTCTGTCCGTTCTTGGGAAGAGGTTTGTCCACTTCAGCCTGGCTTCCCTCCGGAGTGCATTCTTGTCTCGCAGTCTATGCTGCTCCTTATAACTCAAAAGTGATTCTCTTTAGGACAGACCCTCTAGGTACCTCGCAACCTGAAGGAAGCCCTGTTTCCAAACAGGGGGACAAAGGTCACAATGACTCCACAGCAAAGATGAGAAGATTTGGGGTGGGGTGGGGGCAGAGAAAGGAAAAAAGAACCCTGATGCATTGTGGGAGGTGCCACCGAGCGCCCAGCAGATTCTCAGATGGGAACCTGATCTCACCGCACGTTTTCACAGCAAGCGCAATAAAATACTATTTTAAAAAGAAATCATTTGTAACCACAAGCAAACAAAACACAGGGTCACATGCACAGGGTGGGGATTCCAGCACACATTCTTGGGAGGGCACAGATTGGTCCCCAACAGATTCACTTCCCAAAGTAGCTGGGCTCACGAGGAGAGGTTTGAGATGGACCAAGGAAGGCTGTGAGGCCTCCCCTTCAGTCTTGATCTCTCTCTCTCTCTCTAACTTACATGACCAGTTTGCCCAGTATGCTGAGATCGTCAACTTTACCCTCCCCAATGGGACTCAGAGGAGTGGGCAAGTGCTTGAGGTGGCTGGGACCAAGGCAATTGTCCAGGTAAGAGCATCCACGAGGTATTGGTGATTGGCTGAGTGAGTATATGCATCCCCCAGTCCTGACACATGGAAGTATCCCACGTCCCTGGAAGCACTCAGTGCAGACCTGGGTACACACAGGTGTATAGAACGGGAGCCCCATTCTCTCCCAACAAGCCCTTCAGTGGAGTAACCTATTTCTTGTCCCATAGGTGTTTGAAGGGACCTCTGGGATTGATGCCCAGAAGACTACCTGTGAATTCACAGGGGACATCCTACGGACACCAGTGTCAGAGGACATGCTGGGTGAGGGCTAGGGGAGGGGCCAGCTTCCCTGCAATGTCACTGCAGTGTCATGGCTGCCGCCCTGCCAGGTGCCCCTGTGAGCTATCTGAGGTCCGTTCAGGTGTTCATTGAGAGAGGAGGAAGGCAGCTGCAGCCTACCAAAGGCACAGGAGGCGGCCACCTATTTGGGATCAAGCTGGGATCAGTCCTGCATGGTCTCTCCCCACACCTGCCCTTCTTGGCCCTCCCCACTTCCTGCCCATGATTGTCCCCATCAGTTACTGTCCTAGGGTTCTCTACCTGCAAAAGGCTTTAGGAGATGAGGGAGGGTCCATCTAAGAGGCTCCCTGGGGCCCACTGAGGGCTGAGAGGGGACTCAGGGCAGGACTGGGAGATGGGGGTGCAGCGGGGGAGGTGGGAAGTTCTGGGGGTGAAGAGAGTGGGCAGCAACCCCCCTCACCCACCTCTAGGCCGGGTTTTCAATGGCTCCGGCAAGCCTATTGACAAGGGGCCAGCTGTCATGGCGGAGGACTTCCTGGACATCAATGGTGAGTGACCAGAGGTCTAGATGGCTTTTGTGGCCTAGCCCCCAGCCACCTTCCCCACCCCATCATCCATCCAGAGACAGCCCTGCCCATGAAGTCCTGGTTCAGACATAAGCCAGAGACCACCACCCCAGGGCTCCCCATTCCGGGGCTTGTCAGACTGACTCCCAGATCGGGCATGAGAGGAGAGCAGAAAAGGCTTCTCTGTCCCCACATCTGCTGCCACCAGCTGCCACCGAGCCTGAAATGCTGCCCCTGGCCCTTCCTGGCCGGTCTCTGTAACCCGGTGGTCCCTGCTGTGAAGATTTCACATGCGCCCCTTGACCAGCTCCGCTCCCAGGCTGACGGCTGGGTGGTTGGCAGAAGTAGATGGGGTCCCCACAGGCGGGGACCCTCCTCAGTCCTCCCACCCTATGGAGTCAGTTTAGGGAGGGTCAGATGGAACCCCCCGGGGTTGTGTGACAGGCCCAAGGCCACCCCACAAGTCAGGGATAGAGCACAGAGTGAAATCCCCTGAGATAGGAAGTCACCGCCAGGCCCTGCAAACCGGCACAAGCTCAGTCTGGGTGCGGCTTCCACTGCTCCAGGGAGCTGCTGTCCAGGGTCCCCCTGGCCACGTTTACATATGGACGCTGCCGTGACATGGAATTCAATGCCCCCTTCACACCCCACTGACCACACCTCCAGAGCTTAGCAGCCACACAGGGCAGGAGCTGTAGATGGGGCATCAGAGTGGACACATGGTCCACCACAAAAAGGCCTGTCACTGCGGGGGGAGGGGGGTGGTGAGCTGGGGTAATGCTGGGGTGGTCCCCATGATTGTCCCCGGACCCACGCAGGCCAACCCATCAACCCCCATGGTCGCATCTACCCCGAGGAGATGATCCAGACTGGCATCTCCCCCATTGACGTCATGAACAGCATTGCCCGTGGGCAGAAGATCCCCATCTTCTCAGCAGCTGGGCTGCCCCACAATGAGGTGAGGTCTCAGAGGCCAGCAGGCTCGGCCAAGAGGAAGGGGCCAGGTGTGGGAGGCCTGGCCTGGTGGGTCCCAGCAGGCAGGAGCCTGGGTGCGGGAGTCACCAACCTCCAGACTGGCACTGTTCTCCCAGGATGCTACCAGGCTTCCTGAGGGGCCAGTCACCTGTCCCCAGCAGGTCTTTACAACCTCTGCCCCGGAGGGCCCGCTGTGGGTCCTTGAGCACTGAGAGCCCCACCCACGGGCCCTGATAATGACCTTGATGCTCCTGTGAAGCAGAGTCACCCTGTGCAGGGCAGCCCCGTGGCCCCAAAACCTCCCTGCATAATCTCCTTCCCACCGCCACCTGGCACGCCCAGCCACCCAGCCTGGTGAACTGCCAGGGACTCCTTCTCTGATGCCCACCCAGCTCACCCTCAGAAGAGTCTGGTGGTTCGAAGGCATAGGCATCCCCCTAACCCCCCCACCCCCACCCACATAAGACAACTTTGGGAAGGAGGCAAGAGGGGGCCCAAGAACAGGACAGGAGGGGCTGGCGCCCCTCAGCCAAGTTGCCCCACACCTGCACCGCGGCCGC